TTAGACAGAAAAAAATTGAGGCAGTTAACACTGTTATACCACGAACAGACCACATGACTATTGAACAGAAACAAAGACTAAACCAGTTAGTCACAAAATATCCCAATTTATTTGCCACCCCGAACGAAAAGTTAACTTACACAACAAAAGTAAAAGCAGAAATTCGAACTAAGACAGATTCACCGATATATTCAAAATTTTATCAATTCCCAATGTCTTTAAAAGACGAAGTCCATAGACAAATACAAGAACTCTTAGAGGACGGAATTATTCGCCCATCCCGATCACCCTACAATTCACCCGTGTGGATTGTTCCAAAAAAATTGGACGCTTCCCAACAGAAAAAATATAGAATGGTTATCGATTATAGGAAACTTAATAAAGAAACTATAGCAGACAAATACCCTATTCCAGAAATTAACGAAGTACTAGCTCAACTTGGAAATAATAAAATTTTCTCAGTGCTTGACTTAAAAAGTGGCTTCCATCAAATTCCTCTGAAAGAGGCTGACATTGAGAAAACAGCATTCTCAGTTAATAATGGCAAATACGAATTTACCCGACTACCTTTCGGTCTAAAAAACGCACCTTCAATTTTTCAAAGGGCATTAGACGATATTCTTCATGAACATATTGGCAAAATATGTTTCATATACATAGATGACATTATCATTTTTAGCAAAGATAATGAATCACATTCCAGAAATCTAGACAAAATCTTCAAAACTCTGCAAGAAGCCAATATGAGATGTCAATTGGACAAATGCGAGTTCTTTAAAAACAAAGTTGAGTTTCTCGGCTTTGTTATATCCGACAAAGGAGTCGAAACAAATCCACAAAAAGTGGAAGCGATAATCAAATACCCGCTACCAAAAACCCTTAAAGACTTGAGATCATTTCTGGGTCTCTCAAGTTATTACCGAAGATTCATTAAGGATTTCGCTAAGTTGGCAAAACCCCTTAGCTCCTTATTAAGAGGGGAAGATGGACGTGTGTCCAAAAACCTATCCGCAAAAAAATTGATTTATCTCAACGATGAAGCGGTAGAAGCTTTCAATAAGATAAAAAACGCTTTAGTTTCAAACGAAGTTATTCTTCACTACCCAGACTTCGGAAAAGAATTTCACTTAACGACAGACGCTTCCAACTTTGCCATTGGAGCCGTCTTATCTCAAAATCGCCATCCAATTACATTCCTTTCTAGAACTCTCTCAAAAGCGGAAGAAAATTACGCTACAAACGAGAAAGAAATGCTAGCAATCATTTGGGCACTCAAAGCTCTCAAAAATTACCTGTACGGTAAAACAAAAGTAAAAATATACACAGACCACCAGCCATTAACACATTCGTTAAGTAGCTGGAACGGAAACGCTAGAATAAAAAGATGGAAGGCATATTTAGAAGAATTCGACTACGAATTACTTTATAAACCAGGAAGGGACAACATTGTAGCCGATGCGCTATCTCGAATCCCCACCATAAACAATATCAGATCGGTAGCCTCCACACAACACAGTGCAGACAGTTCAAGCCATAACTTAATACCAAGCATTGAAGCACCCATAAACGTATTTAAAAACCAGATATTTCTGGAAAAGGCCAATAAAACAGACTACAGATTCTATATACCATTCCCAACTTTCCATAGGCACATAATAACTCAACCAAGCTACACAACAAATAACCTCATACAAATATTAAAAGCTCGTCTCAACCCTTCTGTTATCAATGGCATAATAACCTCAGAAGATGTTATGCACCAAATCCAAACCATATATCCGATACACTTCAAAAACTATAAAATTAGGTTCTCACAGTCACAGGTTAAAGATCTAACAAACGAAACCGAAAGAGACGAAAAAATCTTGGCCACCCATAATAGAGCACATAGGAACGCACTTGAGAATAGAAATCAAATGATAGAACTTTATTATTTTCCTAAAATGAAACAAACAATAGCAGACCTTGTCAAACAGTGTCAAGTTTGCAAGGAAGAGAAATATGACAGACATCCGAATAATCCAAAATTAAAAGAAACCCCAATACCTGAATACCCAGGACAAATAGTACACATCGATATATACACAACACAAAAGAACTTAGTATTGACAGCAATAGACAAATTTTCAAAACTCGCTCAAGGAAGAGTAATCAAATCCAGAGCAATAGAGGACGTAAAAAAACCACTTCACGACATACTCTTTTACTATGGCGTACCAAAAGCAATAGTCATCGATAATGAGAAGTCCCTAAACTCAGATTCACTAACTTTTATGATGAAAGACCAACTCGGAATTGAAATTTATAAAACCCCACCACATAAGAGTACAGTCAATGGGCAAGTGGAAAAATTCCACTCGACACTATCAGAGATTATGAGATGTAATAGACGAAAAAACGAATACAAAACTTTCGACGAACTTCTGAACAAATCAATATACGATTATAACTACACTATACACTCAACAACCAACAAACGACCACTCGACATATTTTTTGGCAGAAACGTGACGACAGACCCAGAACAGTATGAAAAAGCTAGGAAAGATAATATAGACAGACTTAAACAAAAACAGACGACAGACATTCACAACCATAACAAGACGCGAAACGATATACGAACTTACACACCTGGACAAGAAATCTACATTAAAATAAATACACGATTAGGTACTAAACTTTCACCTAGATATAAAAAGGCAATAGTAAAAGAAGACAGAAACACGACTGTACTAACATCAACAAATCTCATCGTACACAAAAGTAACATAAAAAACGTTTGACAATTATAGATTACTTGTAATACTGATGGTGACGGTACAACCAATAGAACCAAATATAGAATACAAAGAAATATTGTCGCACAAAAATGTAATGTATGGAATTATTAAAAGCTGTAAGAAATATAATAAAATTAAGATTTGTTCTAAAAATAACATTGTCAACATTAGCAATAGTACATGTTTGCCTAGGCTCCTCAATGGAGAAAAGTCGCTGTGTGAGTTCAGTAATGCTGAGCATGTGGAACCCATCGACGAATTGGCCAATGGTCTTCTGATGCTTAACAACTTTAATGGGATGGTGACATCGGACAAAAAAAGTACATGGTTAAATGGCACTTACGTAATTCGCTTCACCAACGAGTCCATTTCGATTGGCAACCGGACTTTCAGCAATCTAGAGACAAACACGCTGAGAGTCGGATCATCAATAATCCAGATGACACCGGAAGAATCGAGACGACTCCAAATTCTATCGCTAAAGGCTTTGCAGGCACTACACCTCAACAATAGCCAAATACTGGAAAAACTAAAACTTACGACACACGCAGTATCATCTGTAATATTGATCTGCATTGTAGCGATAACCATCGTCATTGCCTACCTCTACACAAAGAGAGCTAGAAAAATAACGTTACTATTGGACAATAACCAAGTAAATAAAGTAACAGAGGCACCAAGACGAACAATAGAGAACATACAGTTCAATGACATTCCCTTCTTTTAAGAATCGCTTGAGGACAAGCTCGAATTAAAGGGGGAAGAGTTAATAACGAAAATAATTCCACATTGCAACAAAATCCAATGGGAATTATTGCAACACAAATAAGACATAACAAACTCCATAAGCCAAATCTGCTGACACCACGTCTAGTGGACTTCCTGCACGCGCCAACCAGAGCTGCAGTGGACTTCCTGCACACGCCAACCAGAGCTGCAGCAATTCTAAGAAGAATTGCGCAACGGGCCAACAACACCACGAGCGACGCCGCTGCCAGCGCCGTTGACTGAACCACAGCTTAGCTAGGGATAGAATTGATTTAAGTTGTCAGTTGCCAAATTCAATTTGAATAAAACGGACTTGTTTCGTCCAAATCAAATAAAATCTTTTTTTTATCATTCGAAGAAAAGAAGAATTTAACTTACATCCTGATGGCAACAAATCCTAAGCCTTATAAATCGCCCTTCCCACACACACAGTTACACATAAAGCAGGCGACGTGATAGATAAAACTCTTGTCAAAACGTATTTTATGGCGGACTGAACCCTGCGGCCTGTGACATTGCATGTTGTGTGGCGCTCTTGATAGAATTGATGCTGCGTCCATTTATTAACTTGGCTAAGAGCAAATAATGCTGTTAGCTCATTTTTTCGTTTGTTAGTTCTTCCCATGGGCCACATTGTCAGCTTTCAGCTTTCAGCATCCACATGGGCCACTTCGTTGCTCGATGTCTTTGTGTCAATTTTGTTTTGTCAACAAAGGCGTCGGGCTAAATGCAATTAAAAGCCAACTATTCTCCTCTGTGGTTGGTGTCTCGAAACATGCTTTAATTCGTGTTCTAGCACTGCAAGTGTAATTAACGCCACGCCCTTGCCCACCTCACTCATATATGCTCATTTACTGGCCGAATTCTTCAAGTTATGTACAATAAACAATCCATGTGGAGCCTCGTATGTCTGGGCTATCGTCTGCGTGCCACTTGTCCTTGTGCAAAATCTACGTTCGGTAACCGCTTAGTGCTCCACACGCACAATTCTGCCCGCTGCCACCTACCGCATTGCCAACTTGTGGCAAATTAAATTGTTAAAAAGGGGACCGACAACGTCCCAGTAGCCCAGCAAGCCACTAACTCACAGCCCTTGGTTAATGATGTCGCTTTGTGACCGCTAAGCGTTTAACCTTCAGACACTGCGTCGTCGTCGAGACACGTGATAAATGTCGAGCATGCACATACATACAAGATATATACATATATATATGTATATATCTATACATGCAAGTTTAATTCTTATGTATAATTTACATTTGCTTTCCCAGCAATGCTTTTATACATGCTTAATTATGCTTGACAAATAAGCGTAAGACACATTTTCTCGAAGGACTTACGCTAACTGAGAACAGGTCTCATGACTGCATGACTGTATATAAGATCAGCTTTAATAGAAAAATATATATATTATATAAACAATTTCGCAAATATCTTAAGGGAGAAGAGATTTCAGATTTCAGAGTTGACAATGAATTCTGATAAAAGAATAAAATTATAAACATTATAGAATTTCTATAAACAGTTAAAACTGAAACCTTACAGCCACCAGGTTAGCTTAGGGTAATATTCCAGAGTAAACATTTAGGGAAATCTCATATATTTCTTATTGTGTGCGATGCCCGACAAAGTCTCAATTAATGCTGCCTTTTGATGGCCGCATTGGCTAAAGGCCGATATTATTGTAGCTATTCAAAGCTTAAATGTACACATATTTATATATATATATAAATAAATAATAATAAAATATATACAGCACAGCATGACGTCGCACAGGGCCGGGCTAAAAATAAAGTAAATGTGGATTATGAAAAACAAGTGCTAAGAGGCCTTGAGACGACGGGTGACGCAGAAGGTTCAGCAGGCCCAAGGTATATTGAGTAACGACGACCAGGGTCATTAGAGCCACTCACACAAACTGGGCGAAATCCTTGGCCAGCGGGCACTTTTGTCTGCTGAGACAAAGGGTCAACTGCTAGAATTAAATTTTAAAGCTAAGTCAAGAAGATAGAGCGGCGTGTGTGGGTGTGGCAAGCAAATAGCCTGGACATGTGCTGTCAAAGTAGCTAAAGTACAATTTCTGAACAAAGCGAGTAGCTGCGTGTGCGGCTGCATAATATGCTTCGATTTTGCCAGCAAACAAACATAAAATTGCGCAATGTTTTTGTTTCTGATCCCGGCTAATCGTACGAGTGTGCGAGTGTGCGAGCGTGTGTGCGGAGTCGAGGGGAAGTCGGGAAGCTTGTGGCAAAATCCAGCAACTAGCAAGGCAAAGCTTCTTGCACATGAAACGAAATTGTTGCCCATACCAGCAGCCAAGCTGATAGCCAAGCATGGCCAACGCCCCTGGTTTCAGTCGGGCTATACACAGATACTTCTATTGCAATCCGTTCGAGCTAGCCATGGTCAGCATTGGCTCTTCGCAGATTTGGCGTGAGTTGTCATATTTGACTTTGTCTAACCTTTTGGGCGCTGCCTGCAGAGTGTGATGCAGTTGTAATTGGCATATCTGTGTTAGAGCCATCAACAGCTCAATGTGCCAAGATTAGCCCGCCGGGCATGTCCTTGCCAATATGTGACGAGCTTTAATGGAATCTGCACTCTGTGCTTTATACAGGTCATTGGCTTGATTGAATCAGCATTTGATACACTGCATCCTTTCTGTCATGTTACGCTCAACCTATTTAAATCTGACGTAAGCCGACTTGGCGCATGATTTGTGTGTGACATATGTGAGTCTCTCGATTAAACTGAAGCTAATTTTAGCTTGAGCTAGATATTGCATAAGCAACTCCATTAACTACTATGTGGGCTATTCAGCTAAATTATCCCATCCGTGTCCACTTTAGTTAGTTAATCTCTTAAGCATTTATACCTCTGGAGTATGTTTTTGTTGCATAACAAATCACTTCATTTGGTTTGGTAATTTATACGCCTTGAACAATTCCCATTCAGGAGCATTTGTCACATCGGCCAAGCCGAGTTCACATTTAAACTATTCAAATTTCACATCAGCCTTAACTAAGCCGGCTCGAAATGTGGCACCAAGAAAATGTTGCTCGTTCGTCAAGCCCTTCTTATCCTTTTATCTGCAGTCGAGAATGGTTAAAGAGCTAAATTTCTATCCTTGAGATGTCTCGGCATCTGATTTATTAATAAAAGGATTATTTACTTTACATTTTTGGCTGTCTCTTGTTCAGTCCTCAGTCAGGGACATAAATTTCTGTATTGTTATTTTTAGCTGAAGCAAATAAAAGAAAAATTGTTCTTTAAACAAACAGATATTAACATACCAACTACAGTCGACAAACCATTTGTTTGATTTGCCTGAACCAATAGAAAGGAAAAATATTTGGTTTATGTGTGAACCGCGCAGAACCCATTTCCACTCTCAATATGTCACAAATATTGAATATCTGTGTAAAAAGTAAACTGTGGCTCGTTGGCAGCGCGTCCAGTCGAGACGAAGATGAATTATATGCTTACCCTTGCGATTCTCTTTTTTATAAGGATGGACTCTTATGGGCGCACATAAAAACTAGCACTCAAATCAATAAGCTGTTGGCATTTGAAGCGCCTGCTCTGATTGTGTTTCTTTTTCTTTTTACAACTTTGTCACTGTTATCCCAATAGACGAGGGACAGGGGGGGGAAAGGTTAAGGGTCTAGCTTTACTCTTTGTCGACCATATGCTGTCTGTGTGTAATTCGGTGTATAAGAGTTTAGGTGCTTTCATTTTGTGGCGCTCATTTAAATAGATCCAAATTTATGGCAAACACACAAGCACACACTAACCCACACACACATGCACGCTTTGAGCGATTGCCAGTGAGCAAACGTCTTGGGCTTAAGGCTATTTCCGTTTTAACAATGGCTGCTCGTTGGCGTGATTTATACGATGGCGCGTGTGGAGATTTCATTACACGTTGCATGCGTGCCACACTTGGTGACGATGCCCGCCCTCGGCTTTTATGGCCAACGAAAGAAAAACGGAAGTTTAGCTTAATCGAAGTTGTTGTCACGACTTGCGACCGCTGATTGATTGCCCAATTGATAAGCCACGCCGCCTGGCATGCAAATTAACTGAGCCTGCACCGCCCACTCCGAATACTGTTTCTCTCAATTTCATTTCTAATTTGCAGCTGCGAAACAAATGACATCTGCCAACATTCGACGCTCTTATTGTGCGCCGTCATTTTGTCCCAGAGAGCGTTCCGTGTCACTTGTTTTCAACTTGCGCAAAATTCAAATTGGTACCAAAAACATGGCAACAGCTGCCGACTGTGACCCCAGCTAGCGTCAAGAGTTTTGTCTGCCATCGTTCTGTGCTGTTTGATTTTGCGGCAAGCGAATAAAAAACTTTGCAGTTTGTAGCCAAAGTTATTCACATGCATTCTAAATGCGAGGGCGGTACGAAAAGTATACACTTAAAATATCGTTATAAGAATCCCCTAATTAAAATTTGATGAAAACTGATTCATATAATTGATGGCGATAATGTCTCATCATCACTTGATAAAAGTCGTTAATTTATTTTAAAATTTTCAGAATATAATATATAAGAGATATTTTCCCTTCGTACAACCCTCGTAATGCTCTTTCAGAAAATCAATTGAATGAAACAAAAAGTTTATATAAAATGATTTTAGGCAGCCGTATTGCAGCTTGTCCTGGTTTTCAATGCATAAATTAGTTGACTGCGCTTCGCGCAGATGAGCTGACTCAGAAGACAATGACTAGCTGGAGATGGGGAATATTTGTAGTATGTATACATTTCTTAGCTACCCACCTCGTAGAAGTAGAACGAATTCAAGTTGTCCAATTCACCCGCATATGGCGACGTCGAGTTGTCGGCTGCTGCTGTTGCTGCTGCCTGGAAATCGCTGCCGGGCGACGTTGTTGTTGCTGCAGCTGCTGTTGCTGTTGCTGTTGCCGTTGCCGTTGCTGTTGTTGCCGCTGCTGCTATTGTAGCCGCTGTCGTCTGGGCCGCACTGGCGGTCGTTGGCGTCGGCGCCAGCATCACGTGTGAGATCGCAGGTGTAAAATATGTCAGATTAACTGCAGCCTCCGCAACTGGCGCTGCGACTGTTGTGCCATTCAACGTCAAATGGCTGCCATTGGCCGCCTGAGCGGGTGGCAGCATGCCCGACGACACAGAGGCCAGCGTATAATAGAACGAGCTATCGAAAAGCCTCAGATGCAACATGCCGCTCGTTGTTTGTGCCCCAGCTTAGGTCTGAGCCATATCGTACAGATTGTTGCTGCAATGCAAATTGAAAAATTCATTAATACAGTCGCATTGCCTATTAAACACGTTAAGTGCAATGACAATTGCTCTGCCATAAGACCTGTTAAGCTTTTGTATATAACACCCAGTCATAAATCCACAGCTGCATAATAAATGCTTTAAGCACTTGCTGGCATTATGCCAAACACTTGCCCCACGGCTGACAAGGCGCTTGTCTGGGGACTGGGATTGGTGTTGGGTTTCGTTTGGATTTGGGCACCAGTCATTGCCTTCAAGTGTGTGTGTGTGTTGGCATTTTGTGTATTTGCCTGTTTAGCTGGATTAATTTCAGCTCAGGTCGTGTACAAAACCTTGTTATAAATGTGGCACCGTATGCGACTTTTGTAGGTGCCAAACTTTAGCGCTCGAGAGTGATAAGGGTACGGATTGTCAAAAATTGCCTCTGCCTAATTCTCTGTTAAACTTTCCCTAAAGCTGGGGTAGGACTCAAACAAATTAATGGCAAACTTTTTAATATATAAAATATGATTTTCTCATTTAAATTCGAATTTTTTCGCGAGTTCTAAAGTCTTAAATAGGTGCAAATAATTAAATTAGGAAAAAAAATTAAAATGATTGATAAGCCAATTAAAATTAATTATATCATGGATATTATTATTATTATATTATATCACAATGTGTGTTTATAGTACCCGCCAGGGAATGAGCTTAAAGAACAAGAAAACTAAATAAATAAATTTGTCCTCTGTTTTGTAAGAGGCGACAGACATAAGATAATCTCGTCTAAACTGTCTAGATCAATAAAGCTTACAGCTTATACAACGCACTAAGAATGTTGACTATCTAGAAAGAAAACAAGATTTTGCTATATTTATCGCTTAAAAGCTAAGCGATTAATTATTTGCCTGAACTAATTTCTGCAACTAAATCAATTTGTTTCACACTTATCAACTAATACTGAAATTTGCTGTATGAATGAATATAAATCAATCACTAAGAAAGTTTTCTGCTTAACGAGTTGGAAAAGCATCGTCCTAATTGAATTAAACATATGCATGTCTTGAACCCAGCGGACATGAAACGGATTGTTAGATTGTTCATGGCTGATAACAATAACTTCAACAATTAGCTCTAGTTGCCAACAATGGCAATGTCCTGGCAACACGCACGCCTATGCCTGGGCCAACAAAAGGACCTTTTGAACTTTTTGTGTGGCCTTAAAACTTGTGCACGCATATGTGACTCTGTCTGTCTGTCTGTCTTCCTCTGACTGCGTGTGTGTGTCTGCTTAACTGTTTGCTGTGACCTTTGACAGCGACTTAAAATTAAAATCGCTGCAAAACGTCAACTTATTAGCCAGAGGCTGACTGGCGAAACGTGCTTCAAATTGCGAAATAAATTTTATTTAAAGCTCACACAATATCTGCGACCAGCTATGCGGGCACGCAACTATTTTGCCAATGATATATTAGCACACGTACAGCTCAAGTGTGTGTTTGTGGCTTTTTGGCACCTTCAATTTAGTCGAGAGGCGGCTGCTGTTGCTTGGGGGCGCCTGAGGCGTGGCCACTTGTCGGCACTCTCGATGCTTATATATTTATCACTTTTTATTGCATTTTACAAGCGCGTAGTTTCTCATTTGGCACATGGCCAACAAACGCCTTGCAGCGTCTGTTTTGTGTTTCGTTTATGTCAGCCAACCCTTCGCACCACCGCCCGCACCGCTGTCAACATGTAACGTGGCGCCTTTGTGCTTGCTGCATAGCATAAAATAATTACTAGCAATGTGCTACCAAAATGTCACTTAAAAGCCAAACGCTTTGAAGTGCAGCGCTTTAAAGGTATATCAAATATGATATATTGCGTATACGCAGCGTTTGCCTTTGCGTTTGCAGTTGTTGCTGCCATGTGGAATGGCGCAAAGTTTGCACTGCCAGCAAAATGCAAACAATTTGTTGCTGCAACTTCAACTTTATGTTTTCATAGTTAAGCGGCTTTATTTATCACGTTTTCGTAATAAACTGCATACGCCAGCAGTTGGTTTTCGTGTATAACCCGCGTGCAGCACATTTCAGTACACTATTTTTTAAAAGTAACGTATATAGTTTTGTTCAAGTATATGCGAATTTATTAAAACGCTCAAAATATTATATAATTTATTTAATATTGCTGGCAGGGTAGCGAGAACTAAAAGAAGTGAAAGTTATCGTGTTGGGCGAGCTTGACCAGAAGATATCCTGAGTTCTTTGCAGGGCTAATGGTGTATGTGCATATTATTTATAATTATATATAGTCATATTTGTATTTAATATGCAGAAATTACATTCCAGATATTTCATATTGACTTAAACTGTCAATGTTTTAAGCAAATATGATAAGATAGAACTAGGTACTTATCTGCTCATGTTCATTTAAACAGGTAGATGGAGGGACCGATGGACAGAGCCACAGCAACTCCGCTGTTGATCGCGGTTCTATGTACTTTATATGATGGAACAAATAAAAAAATTATGGAAAAAATAAAGTAATACGCTCAATTTTCACATTCCATTAATGTAGGGTATAATTACTCTAGCTCAGCAATAAGTTTTCACTTGATTGCTGATAAGCAAGTTCATTACAAATTATTAATTTATAAGCTCTTAATTAGTTTTAAAAATTTTATTTTTTATTTTTCAGAAATTTAAGACTTGTCAGCCGCATATATTTGTAGTAAACCAAATTTTAAATTTATTACATTTATTAAATTATTAAATTTATAAAACTGAATTCTACAAGGACTCAAATGATATTAGAATCAAACAAAATGTTGCTCTGTTCTTTGTCTATTTAAAAAAAACGGATTAAATTGATAAATATAAATTGGAATTTTGAACTCGAAGACGTTCGTTAGTTGCCTTGACTTCTACATTAAAATGGGCTTTGAAAAAATAATATAATCGGCTCAACCCATTGGGACTTTGCATAAACAGTTTGGCATTTAAGTTTAAGTCTATTGCAGATGCTGCTGCTGCTTGTGCTAATGCGCATTTAATTTGCATGCAAAATATCTAAAATATTCGCCAAAGCTTCTATCCATGGCCTAGACACGAGCTGAAGCTAACGCGCCATGAAGTGTTTGATTTTATTTGTTTTGCTACACGCTTTGGTTCAATTTGATTGACGTATTTTGACTAAGCTGTCAGCCGAAATGCAGACAGTTTCAGACAATGAGAAGCCACATTCCTGTGCTGCGACTTTTCTTGCATTGGTTTTATTTTATTTTTTGATTTTTTTTTTCGTATGGCACAATTGTCGCTGGCATCAAGCCGCATCTAATTTGACGACAAAAGGCAGTGGAGAAAAGCGCTCAACTTAATGCAGGAGTTGTTTTGCTGCGGCGAATGAGCAGCTTTCAAAATTGCTACTTCACTTGACGGGGCGAGAGAGCGAAAGATAAATTGAGAGAGGGAAACGCATAGTCGAGTTTGTGGCATTTCCGATGCCAATCTGACAATTTAAAAAGCTGACAGTCGGACAGCTTAAGAGCTGACACTTTCGCCTTTGTTAGTTGCAGCACGTCAAGCAAGTGCAACGGCAGCAGCAGCTGGCACATGACTTTACTGCCACTTGCTGCATATTTATGTTTTGTTTTGTTTGCGCTTTTGATTGTGACCGCCATTACATTTAAGCCATTACGTTGTCTGTGCCCAGTCACAGAGCTCGAGCACATATTGGCCGGCAGGCGACAGGACACGGCGTGGCGTCGCCATCCTGCCACCAAATGAAAAATTGATTCAACAGCAAAAATACGAGCATGGTCTGACCAGCGGCACCAACTTTATTGGGTCAGCAGACCACATTGCGTCTGTATTTCTTTTTTCCATTGCATTGTTTCTCTGCTCATATTTTTTTAGCTTATGCCTTGCCTGCTACATTTTGCGTTATGTTTATGGATGAGAGCTGAGCCAGCCCTTGCGCCCCTCCAGAATATTGCGTCACATGTGCAATTGCAGTTCATGGCAATCAGCACAATAACGACACAAATTTAGTATTTCATTTCAATTTTATGAAGCGTGACGTGTGCATGCCACATAAAGGATAATTGGCAGTCGGGTATGCCATGGAGACCCGCAAGTACTTTCACAAAAATAAACATTTCAACTGCAATAGTTTTTGTTCGCTTTACAGAAAAAGTGTTTATATTTGAACGAATTGATAGTCAAACATGCTAAAAGATGCCATTGTTAAGTTGACTTTGTCTCCTTCGACCAGATTCTAAGAACGGTTGCAAACTTTTTATGTTTGCATTCATCTGGTAGACGAAAGTTATGAGTCATACTTGAAGCCACAGTAAGTAAGAGCAGTACTCGCATCTTGAAGTACAATGCCTTGCAGCAATTGACTTTTAAGACTTCTTCTTTATCCCTAAATTTCCATTGCATTTGCAATCGATTTGCTTTATTATTTCTTTTTGATGAGACTCCAAAAAAGAAGAGATATTTATTGTCACCAAATTGAAAAGAAAGATTGAATGCAGATAGAGTTAAGTCACGTCAACAACAGATTTTAAGTCTAACAAAATATATATTTTAATTACACGTAAAATTACGTCAAGCTATAACAATTCTCTAAACTTTTATAATTTAATATCAAGAAAATTGTAAATTTTTTATTGTTTTTATACCCTGAACGCATTGAAAATGGGAAATCAGGTTATAATGGTTTTGTGCAAATGTATGTAACAGGCAGAAGGAGGCGTGGCAGACCCCATAAAGTATACATATTCTTGATCAGGACGACAAGCAGAGTCGATTGAGCCCTGTCCGTCTGTTTGTCTGTCCGTTGTGTGAACCCCTCGATTTCAGCATCTATAAGAGCTGGAGAAATTTTTTTTTAGGTCCGCGTATAGCACGCGCATATTGAGTTTGTTTCAAATATTCGATAACTATTCGCATTTAATTGTTATCGAATAAAAATATGATCGAAATGCATTTAATACATTATATCTCGTACATCTTAAGAGCTAGAGCC